CTTTCGATGTGGGATGCACTTTAACACTCCCCCTTAAATGGACAACCAGACCATTTTGAATCTAACCGGTTGACCAATTGCAAATTAACTTCCATACACCTAAAGGACCACGAGCCGCTGGGTATGGACTTCTTGACGAGCAATCATCTTAAACGGGCCAAAGGCCATTGGGTACATACTTCTTATGAATTTCCGATGTGGGATGCAATTCAACAGATCTCACCATGAGTGTCTCCACGGATTGATACTCACAGATGATTTATACATACACGAATATTGATTAGAAATCATCCTAAATAGGATTAAAAAAATAAAAAAAAGTATCAAAATAAGACTTTCATGTTTTTTCTCAAAAAAGAACTTTACACTGTGGTAATATGGCAGTGCGCATGTGCACATTACTATGTTTTTTTGGTAATGTATATGACCATGTTTGGTAATGTAAGTCCTATGTTGGGAATAAAAACATGGAAGTCCTATTTTGGTATATTTTCAATGTTTTAGTCCTACTTTGGCCGGTCTTTCTCCCAATATTAATCATTTGTCACCACTGATGATTATCGTATATAATAAAAAACTTAAAAAACTATATTATAAAAATATATAGAAAAAAATATTTTTAAAAAATAAATTCTAACCGGTCCACCGGTCCGGATGGAGACCCGGTGGACTAGACCGAAGACCAAATAAGAAAAAAGTGAGAACCGAAGACCGAACCGGAAAGAGACCGGTCCGGTTTGGTTTTAATCGGGTTTCGGGTTGGTCCGGGTCTGGACCAAATAATGCAAACCCCTAATTGCTTGGAGTATAATATCACTAGGGGTGGACACGGTACCGGTACAGTACCGGTACCGGAAACGGTACCGCTGGTTCCGGTACCGTTACCGTCGGCCGGTACGGTCCACCGGTTCCGGGAACCGGTACCGGTACCGCCCAATCCGGTACCGGTTCCGGTGCCCATTTTTCGGTACCGGCACCGGCGGTTCCGGTTCCGGTACCGTTACCGTTTTTTTTTATTTTTATTTTTTTATTTCATTCTTTCCTTTATCAATTTCATTTTTAGATTTTTTTATTTCATCATTTCCTTTAACAATTACACATTTACAATTTTACATTTTAAAAATATAATAAAAAAGCAAAAAAAACAAAATTAGGGGTGGCCGAAACGGTACCGGAACCGGCGGTACCGGAACCGGTACCGGAACCGGCGGTTCCGGAACCGGCGGTACCGGAACCGGAACCGTCCCGGAACCGTACCGTGTCCACCCCTAAATATCACCAAGGTTCAAATGACATTGAACCTTGCCCGTATAATATAATGTGTCACATCCTCACAATTCTCGATCACATAGGTAACACTTTTTTTGTTACTCCCTCCGTCCGGAAATGATGTTCCCATTGTACGTTTTTTTTCGTCCGGAAATAATGTTCCCATTCTACTATTTTATTTCTAATCTCCCTAAATTACCCTTTCTTCCAATTCTTTTGTTCCTTTTCTTTCTTTTCTTCCTTTCTTTTTTTTTCTTTTCTCTTTCCTTCTTTTTTTCTACGCCACTCCTTTCCTTATCTCTTCAATTTTTTTCTTTTTCTTCTCTCCTCTTTCTCCTCCATCTCTGCAGATCCTCTCTTTTAGATCTATACCACAATTGCGCCAAAAGTGGGGCTGCGCGCCGATGGTAGTGTCCCGACAGTGACGGGGCTGCGGCGGCGATGGTGGTCGATTAGATCTACAGTAGATCTGTGTCTTTTTCTTCTTCTCCTCCTTGTCATCTTTCTTCCCCTTCTTTCTCTCTTTACTCTTTCTCCCATATATGGTCTTGGTGGAAGCTATGGGTGATGGTCGGACTGGTGGTGACGGCGGCTGAGGTGATGGTCGTCGTTTGGGCTGGCGGAGATAACGACGCCGACAGGACTGGTGGGGGCAGCGGTGGGGTGAGATTGGCGGCGGTGGAGATTTGGGCCGGTAGTGGTTGCTGTTTGGTGGCTAGGGATAAGTGAAAATGTGTAAGGGTATTTTAGTCTATTCACTCTCTTAGTCAATGCTTCTTAAAAATGAGGAAAAGTCAAAACAGGAACATCATTCCCGGACGGAGGGAGTATTAAGCACGATCATGAGTACAGGTCCCGACCTAGCTCACAAAAGCGCGCTCACAAAATGTTAGGTTTGAGCTTTGGTTTTTGGGTCATGGCGCGATCCAGTCCGTAAAAATGAGAGTACGCGTGCGGAACTTAGAATTCGAGAAAGTTCAATTCCCTCGATGGAAACTACCAACTATGCCTCCTACATAAACATGTGGTAGGGAGGCAAGAAAATTAAAATTAGAGTGTGTGTGAATAATGGGTAGAGATAAATATGTGGTGGAGAAGTGGGTGGAGGCAATATTGGTAGTAAGGGTGGGGGGTGTGTAGCACGGTCCTTCCCTCGATAATGTTTTGAAAAAATATAAAATTTTAAAAATGTATTATAATGAAAGTGATGATCTATTTTTCATAATTAAATTTGCTTAGTAATATTGAAATCATAAAGAATGTTAGTGTAAATATAGTATGTCTTGGTAACACATTTTTTATCAACTATTAACTGTAATTTAATTAAAAATAACACATCATAATTCATATGAGATGACTAACATTATTACTCCCTCCGTTCCACAAAATCCTTTCCCTTTCGTTTTTTTGTTTTCCACAAAACACTTATACTTTCTATTAAAAAACCACTTTTACCCCTACTTTTTCATACCCTACATAACACATCATGCTTTTTCAATAATAACCAAACTATCACATCTTACTTTTTCGCATCATATCAAGGGCAAAATTAGAAAGTCAACCAAAATTACACTTTCCTTATTTTTGTTCAAAGTCAAAATGGGAATGGTTTTGTGGAATGGAGGGAGTATATTTTTCAATTTAAATCATAAATAGTCTAAGGACTATAAGCTATAAACTTTATATAATCAAGTCAAATCATAAAATCAATATAATCGAACTACTTCATCCGTCCCAAATTATTTGTCACATTTCTATTACCAAAGCAAAATATCAAGTTTTTTAAATTCATTTTATTTACATATTGGTAAAGAAATAAAAAATAAAAATTACATATCAAAAAATTACATGAAAAGTTCTTCGAAATAAGAGGTGTCAAGAATATTTTATTTTATCAAATAACCAATGAAAACGTCGATATAAATAAAAGTTTCCGCGATTGCTGAAAAAGCAAATGTTGTAAATATTTAGGGATGAAGGGAGTATGAAATTACGCATAATATTTTTTCTTTTGTAATATTAATATAATTATAGTTCAGTCATCTTCTATTCTATGTATCTTTTGATGTAAAATTTTAAATATATTGTGTGCTTTAAATTTTACATCAATATTTCAATGAATCAAATCAAAACTAACTTTGTTTTAACATATTATAAACAAAAACTTGTATCAAATTGATTTAGAGGTTAAAAACAATCTCACTTATTGGTTAAAAATTTTATTATAAAAAAAGAGAGTGAAATGTTTTGAATTGGGAAAGGATATTATCATTAAAACGATTATTTCATTTGCATACTTAAATTTATTCCAAGATTTCATACCAAAATATTGATCTCACATTTTTTATATTTTTAATTAAGTGGCATATTAGACTATTAGTTGTCAAAGTAAATATTAAAGTTATTTATTGGTGAAGAAAGTAATTTATTTATTAGGTGTCAATATTTAAATAAAATTAATCCAAAAACTAATTTCAAGTAAAGGTGTAATAAATAGTTATAAAATTTATTTATAGGTGAAGAGAGTATTTTATATTTTATTCTAAAAATTTGTTATAAATAATGAGAAAAAATATAGAATTTAGAAAGGATATTATTATAAAAAGGAATTCCCCCCCCCCCCCCATATTTATATTTAATCAAATATTTCTTACCAAACTTTTAATTTATATTTTTCCTATGAAAAATTAGAGTAAATTCCATAATTGGTTCTTTATAACAAGGAGATTTCCATATTTAGTCATTTATTATCAAATATTAACCTCGTAGTCTTTTTTAAGGGTGCCTTTCCAACAAATGGTTCTTTTTGATCTTCTGCCATGTTGGTGTTAATTTAAAGGCTAAAAGTATAATTTGATATCAACATTATGTCTAGTAACGTGTTCTGATATTGGTTAAGCGGACAACACAAAAATAATGACTATGATTGTGGGCTAGGATTCCGACGAAAGACCACATTTGTAGATTATGGTTGTAGAAGAAAGCGATTGTAATTCACAAACGACCCAAACGGAATACCCTTTGGAATTGTGTATGACAAAAAAAAAATATTATCATTGTAAAATTATACATTTAGCTCTCAAATTAACACCAACATCATAGAAGATTAAAAAATGACTATTTGTGGAAAGATATCCATAAAAGAAGGACTACTACGGTAATACTTGATAATAGAGGACTAAATAGGGAAACCCTCTGTTATAAAAGGCTAATTATGAAATTTACTCGAAAAATTATGTGACATATTAGGTGTTAGAAATAGCTACATAAAAATAATTTTCTTTTCTTTTTATTCAGATCATAATTTGGGTTGCATAAAAAAGTCAATAAGTAATGACACGTGTCAGCACTTAGTAATGCCAAATGTCAACTTATAGCAATACCACATACTCCCTTCGTCTCTAAATAAAGTTCCATTTTTGACCTTTTTAGGATTTAAGGGAGGGATATTTTGGTGTTGACTTTCCAAAAATACCCTTGATGTGATGTGTTAAAGTAAGATGTGATAGGTAGATTATTAGTAAAAAAGTATGATGTGATAGGTAGGGTATGAAAAAGTAAGGGGTAAAAAGGGTTTTTTAAGGAAAAAAGCGAAGTTTATTTAAGAACAAGAAAAAACGAAAGAGAAACTTTATTTAGGAACGGAAGGAGAATCATTTTATTAGAATTTGAAGTCTCATTTATATATATACTCCGTATAAAGAATTTTAGAGAGTACTTTTTTCCATTAGAATCACAAGGTCTCATTTTTATTATCAGGAAGATCTATTAACTATTATCCCGCTTTCAAGCGTTAGCTGAGCGGCTGAGCAAAACCCTGCGGCTATGGCGGAGGTCCCCGAGGGCGACGTCAAGCCGGTTATCGTTAGGGTTAAGAGGAAGGCAACGCAGTCTCGCTTGGATGCCTTGTGTGAGTTTTTTGCTAGCGTTCATTGAATTACTATTCCATTATGAAATCTCTTCTATGAAATCTTCCGGTCCTAATTTCATTTCGGCTTTGGTGATTCGGAAGGGCTTGAAATCAACGAGAGGCCATTCAAACGCCCATTAATCGACTTTGAGAAGCTATCCGTTTCCGATTCTTCTTCTAGCAAAGGTGTGTACCTCCCACGCCACTTGCAATGTATAAAATTTCAAATTTCTATGTATTCAATTTCAATTTGCTATGCATATGCATCAATGTGCGTCCATTGCGACTTGAATTGAAAGAGTCATGTTATATAAAAATCTCGTTTTAACTGGGGTTCCAAGGGGGCAGTGCCCCCGAGCAGGGTTCAAGGGGCGGCATGGGGCAGAGCCCCTGGCTGGGGTCGAGATAATTTTTTATTTTGGACAAAGTGCTATGTTAAAAAATTCATTTGAATTTTAATTTTTGAATCGAAAATAGATAAGCACCATTTTTCTTCAGAATCGCGCAAAAGGATGTGTGTTTTGGACGAAAGACATGACAGCAGTCAGCATGCTTCTTCCCTTCCGCGACTCTATAAAATGCATTTCTCCATGGTCGCAAGGATAGTTCAAAATTTCATAACATATCTATACTTGTTCTTGAAAACTTTGAGTTTTATCTGATTGAATTTTGGATTGAACTCCCAAAATATTCAATCTGAAAGTGTTATACATGACTCTCAATTTATCCGTGTTATCTTCTTTATCCCCAACAAGTCATATTAAAAAATGTTTCAGCTTTGGGTAAAATTGGACTAAATCAAAATCTCACATTACACCTCCCTAGCTTTTTGCGTCCTACTGTTTTTTGGAAGTAAATGGATCTTGACCCCCAAACCCCTACACAGTTGGACTGGGTTTGTTGTTGCAACTTGCAAGTATATATGCATTCATGTTATATCTGTGTGACAGTTGAGGGACTGAAGACCAAAAAGGTTCTTGTACAACATGTTGAGACCATAACTAGCTCAGAAGTCACTGCCGATCTGGTGCGGTCTTTTGTGGTATGCGTTATGGACCATCTTATGAAATAGTTTTCCGGGTTTCCATTATTTTTCTCTGCAATAACTAAGGCGTGACAGTTTCGTGTCGTTTGTATTATTCAAGCATACAAAAAAATCTTTTATAATGATTTAACATTTGTAACAGCATGACTCTGCCAGTTCTTTGATTAAAAAAGAGAAACTTGAGGAAAGAAGGCACACATTTAAGGCTTGCAATGTAAGTCATTATTGAGATTTAATTTATCATTGCCAATATGGACACATAATATGTGATGTTAACATGAATGATGTGTGCATTTTGGTGACATTTTGCTTGCAGCGTGTGCAAAGGCAAGGTCACCTTCTTTCAAAAGCTAAACAAACACAAGAGGTAAATTTCAGACATCTCATTTACATACAATTGGACAGAAATTATCATATGGGATTATTTGTTCTGGATCTACTATTTATTTGCTTTTTTAAAATTGTTATGAGAGTAATACCTTAAATTACATTTATTTATTTTACAATTAAGCATTCAAATGACTTGTATAGTCATATCAATCCCCCACCCCCCAAAAAAAATGCACACATAAATGAGTGACCTGAAATTCTTTAATCAACAGTTGTATATAACACTGGCAGGATTTGTCCAAAAATGCTCGTTTTGAGCAAATATGGAAAAGCAGGCGCGAAAAGAACGATGATGTGCACAATGAAGCACTGAATGAAATTTGCCGACTGTATAATGTTGTTCGTGTTGATACGGATGAAAGTAGACATGAAATCCCAGTGAGGTTAGTGTTGGTAGTCAAATGCCAACGCTGTTAACATAAATAGTTTCTTAATGTACCAAAAATCTCTGATTATTTGTCCCAGGGACTGCTAGCAAGAATAAACCCTTGTGTTGTGTGTGTAGAGATGAGGAGTTGGAGGATCACAAGATGATGTCTCAGTATTTACCGCTTTTAAGAGAGTTCATGCCGAGTGCTGCAGAGGAGATTGAGTCTGATGTGCATGAGTATATCTCCAAAAGAGGTTTTTTCATATTTCCTGTGTTGGAGTTGTGAGACTTTTCATGAGAATTGCGTTGTTTTTTCTTATTGGGGCTATTAAAGTGGCATTACTATGTTTTTGAAGTTCCAACCGGATATGATCTTGGCATGCATCGTTTATTATTCCCTCCTGAAAACAAAAACAAGTTGTTTGTTATGGAATGAAGCTAATTTTCACGCAGTTTTGCTATGATTTTCCAAAAAAGTTTATCAGAAGTTAAATAGTACTCCCTCCGTCCCTTAAAGTTCTTCCCTTATTGACTTTTTGAGAATTTAAGAGTAATATTTTTTGTGTTGACTTTCCAAAAATACCATTGATGTGATAGATAAAAGTAGAATGTGTTGGATAGATTATTAGTAAAAAGGTATGATGTAATATGTAGGGTAAGAATTAGTAGGGGTAAAAGTGGTTTTATAATAGAAAAGGGAAGAAGTTTGTGGGACAAGAAAAAAAAGAAAGGAGAAAGAGTTTAAGTGACGGAGGGAGTATATCCTAAGTAAAACTAACAAATACAAATGGAGTTTTAAAATCTTGAATATGATTTCATTATTTTTAAAAGTTGTACCATGACCAACCACAATTGTGTTTTGAGGGGATGTAGATTTTTTTTTAAATTGTAGATAAAACAGTCATTTCAGTCATGAATTGGGCATGCTGGATGGTTCTTTGTTTCAAACTTAGCATTTTTATTTGTAATAAATTAATTGTGGCTTAGCATTATATTCTGAAAAGAATATTTTCGTTTGCAGCATCTTCAGATGGTTATGTGTATGACTTCTATGCTATTAAGAATGATGCTGAGACTGCGGAAGAAGAAACCAGCAGCCACTTCCCTTTGTAAGAATCCATATCAGTGTGTGATTGACCTAATTAGTGCCAGTCCTACCACCTTTTAAGATGAAATAAAACAGTGCATTTGATTTTAAAGGGTTCAAGTTGATGATGAGGATGACGAGTTTTATGACGGTCCTGATGACGAAGACTACGAAACAGATGACTCCAATGGTATCACATATTTATCTAATTTATTTACTTTGTCTGTAGTTCTGTGTTTGAGTCGGGGTCTCTTGGAAACAGCCTCTCTACTTCCTAGTATCCGAGTAGGGGCAAGGTGACTAAAGGTCTGTATACACATGCCCTCCTCAGACCTTACTTTTGTGGGATTTTACTGGGTTTGTTGTTGTAAACCATTTTCAAACTAAGCATGTGAAGCTCATATGCATGGGGCTAATATCATCAACTATTTGTATCTCAGATGAAAACAACCCTCGAAATGATTACCCAGAGGAAGCGTCGTCCTCTGATGATGAGGACGAAGGCAAGTCTCAATCCTCAAAGGACGACCAGTCCGAAGCCGAGAGCGAATCTTCATCTAATGAAAGCAGATGTGATGCATCTCATGATGGAGAGGCTTTGGATGGACGCGACATCGATCCATATCTTGAAGATGATGTTTATAGCGTTGATGATGGGGAGCTGTATGACGATGAAGACGCCGATTACCAAGAATACATGGAGGAGATTTATGAATGAGGCTTGTTCCTGGTAAGTAGTGTCTATAATAGTTGTACCTCTGCCTTAAGTGTCTTTTACTCCATTATCATTATGTACGAGGTTGATTTGTGTGTGCTCTGACTTCCTTCTCCCTTCATTTGTGCATTAACGGTTAATTGTCTTACCTAAAGATTTGATTAATTCATAGTCAACTAATCACTAGTGTAAACGTATCAAAATATCTCCCAATATTTGTTCCTCTTAATAAGAGGCTCTTATCCCCTTACCCTCCCACCGATCTTCACCCACCTGCGCCACCATGCTTACGGCTTTTCCTCTCCCATTCACGGCCGCGTCCCTACCTAACCTTCTTGTTCTTCTTCCCCCCTTCCCTCCCTGTTCGTCGTTGTCTTCAAGCATAGTTGCCACCTTTCAAGCCCCGCCCAATCGCCGCTATATGTTTTCTTCATTTTCATGGGAGTCAAGGGCATTGAAAATCATAGGCATCGTTTGTTCAGAGGTGAAGATTGATGGATAAGGTGATATACATTTTGAATTCGTGACAATATCATGATGATGGACCAATGGACATTAGGGGAAGATAACCCATAGCCTTAGTGGCACCAACAAGTTGTGGGGTGCAATTAATTTTGAGAAAAATGAAAATACTCGTTCAAACTTTACCGCTACATAGTTTTAAACTGGATAAATTTTGGACTTCAGTTATTGAACGGGCTAGTAATTTTGTATGTAATTTGTGCTCTAAAATCACAACTTATTTTAGCTGTAGTTCCCTTCTCATCTCTCAATTCTCAAACGCCTTTGGTTGACATTTTATTTTGTTCGCTTAGAGGGACAAGTAAAAGAAATGTTGAAGAAAATTAAAACGTGAGCCAAAAAACTAAGTTTTGAAGGGAGAAAACTACTTTTTCAAGAGCAATGCTAAGGGTATTAATCAATAATCACAATTTTTATAACACTTTAATTTTTCCATTCAAATATAAAAATTGTAGTCAAGTTGGGTTTGGGGCACAAATTGTGGTACACTTGGGTGTACCCAAAGCCTTTTTCATTTATTTTTTTTAATTTTAATTTTAGTTCTCCAAATTTTTAATGGGGTGATTTTCACCTTTTAATGTAAAAATATATATTTTCATCTTTAACAAATATACATCTTTTTTCTTTACACCGTGCTTGATATACACTAATACTATGTTTGGTTCAATGATATACACTAATACTATGTTTGGTCCAATGTCATGGGATGATCCGGAGGCGTTCCAATGTCCCGTTCGTAAAATTGAGGGTTCCTACCCCTCAACCCCTGGTAAATCCCCTCTCCCCGCCCCGACCCGAACACACCCCCCACCCTCGTCAATTGTACCTCAAAATTTGACTCCAAAGTCAAAATCAACTTGTGGGGTGCAATTGACGGGGGAAGGGGTGTGTTCGGGTGGGGTTGGGAGGGGGGTTTACCAGGGATTCGGGGTATGGACCGTCAATTTTACGAATGAGACAATGGAATGCTCCCGGGTCATCTCATGACATTGGAACCCAATGTCATGAGAACTTTGGTGTATATTCAAAGAGTATTAAGTAACTCGTACACTAATTTTATAATGTGTCTAGCTTGTGTATCAGTGTATGTATGACATGAATATGCAATTTTTATGTTCCAATTTTCAAGATTATATTCTTACTCTAATAGATGTAAATTTTACTTCTAAGTAGTACCCAAAATTTAGCACTTTTCCCCAAATAGCACCGAATTACTTTTTTCTCCAAAACTAACATTAATTGATTAATTAATTATTTATTATTAATAACTATTCCCTCCGTCCTACAAAACCTTTCTTTTTTCTTTTTTCATCCATCTAGAAAACTATTTTTCATTTCTATTAAAAGTCACTTTTACCCCTATTAATTCTTAATATACCTATCAGATCACACTTTTTTACTACTAATTTACTCATCATATCTATTTTTACCTATCACATCTAAAGGCATTTTTGGAAAGTGAACACTAAAATATACTCATCTTAAATCCCTTAAAAATCAAAACAAGAAATGTTTTATAGGACAGAGAGAGTATCTACTATTATTTGTCTACTTATATTTTCCTTTTGATGAACATTGTAAAAATTAGAAACATTATTCACTGATCTGCGACATTGTAAAAATTATTTGCATGAGACATTTTAAAAATTATGGACATTTTTTACTGAACGAAGATATTAATGCTAATGTAGTAGACATTTATAATTGTAAGAATATCGTTTTTAACCGACAATGTCTTGACAATGAACATATAGACAATACAACAACAACAACCCAGTTAAATCCCACAAGAGTAGGGTCTGGGGAGGGTCTGTGTACGCAGACCTTGCCCCTACTCGAAAGTAGAGAGGCTGTTTCCAAAGAGACCCCCGGCTCAACGTCGAAAGTTGCATTGCTTGACTAACTGCTACTTCATTAATTAAAGAAGCGCAGACAGTTTAGAGATCCATTTTGATTTATTCATCACACCCCAAAGCCAAAAAAATGATGAAATTTTGGCTCCATCGGAGATGATGGAAATAAAATCATGTATTATAGACATTAACAATGAACATATAGACATTAACGATAATAGACATTATTAGAGTGAAACATCGAAGTAATAAAATCATGTATTATAACTGTACAATGGACATTAACTGAGTGGCGGCTGGGCACTGACTTCAACATTTTGTGATCGGCGAAAGGTGAAAGATAGTAAGACATGATGAGGCAATAAAATATAAAATCATATAAAGAGTATTTTAGTACATCGAAATTAATAATTAAATGCTAGTTATGAAATTAAAACTTGTGGTGTCATATAGAGTGGTGACTATGTTTTGGTATTATTTAAGTAGTTTTCCCATGTTATCATTTGTTTTGTAGAATTTTTAATAAATTTTTGAAATATGAAAGCTATATTATTTATTCATCTACAAATTTATAAATAAAATCATTTTAAAAAGGATAGAGATTTTACATGTTTGAAAGATTATTTGGGGGGGGGGGGAGCGAAGAGAATATGTATACATTAATTTAATGTGGAGTAATGCTATAGTTACAAATCAAATATTCACAAAATGCACAAACTTGCCAAAGACAATATACATCAATTTCAATGTGCGTGCGAAGTGTACATTATATTAAAATAGTATATTCGAATATATATAGAGGACGTGTCCTATTTTGACTTTTTACAGTCAACTAGAGTCGATATTTGGCTTATAATTAAATAAAATTATATGATATACTCCCTCCGTCCCAATTTATTTGCAACGCTTCGAACGACGTGTAAAATATCATCTCTTTTAAAATCACTTTAATTTCAAATTGGTAGAGTAATAAAAAGTAAAAATTACACCATTTTAAAGTATATGAAAAGCTTTACAAAACAAGATGCGATAAGAATATTTTATTTTATCAAATGGTCAACCAAAACGTGTAAACAAACAAAAGTTATCGAGAAGTTAGAATAGTAAACGTGACATTCTTTATGAGACGGAGGGAGTATTAATCAAATAAAAGAGTATTTTAAAAATATTTTACACGATAAATCTTGTAAAATTATTCTTGTATCAATATCTAATACTATTTCCGTTCCAGTGTATTTGTCCAGTTTGACTTTTTTGAGTCAAACTGGACAAATTTTAAACTTGAATTACTCTCAATTTATATTGTATATTAGCATAAAGAAATACAATTTTGAATGTTCTCAAAGTTTATCAAATTTATGTTAGCATAATGAAATACAAATTTATGTTCTCAAAGTATATTAGCATAATGAAATACAAATTTATGTTAAAATACATTACAATTTTTATTTAACTGAAGCTCAAAGTTTATTAAATTTGACTTGAAAAAGTCAAACTGGACAAATACATTAAGACAAAGGAAATGTAATTTTTCTATTTAATTATTGGTAAACGGTAAAAAATTTAAAAATGAACAAATACTCTCAAACTTAAGCGATAGGTAGTATGATTAAAGAGGAAAGATTTGTTTTTTCTATAATTGAAAAAAATGAACGGTGTAAAATTAATGTAGACATTTTTGGTAAGAAATTGTTTAATCTTTTTTTCCTTATCAGTTTGTTGGCTACACGTAAGAAGAGGGACTTATGTTCTGTAACCGATGAAAATGCTCAGAGTTTGCCCATGTGATCTCTCCCTCTCTCAATCATCCATTCCCCTTTCGATCGACTCTCTTGTCTTCTTCTACATATACTCACAGTTTCGCTTCCGTCTGTGTCACTGAGAGTGAGTGAAGGGTTGGCGTTTTTTCTTCTTTTTCTTTTCTTGGTCGGAGAAAATGAAGAGATTCATCATCACCGCCGGACAGAGGGCGGCGCCGTCGTCGCGATCAACAGGTTTTTTGACCACCTCCCGTTCTTTCTCCACCGTCGACGCGTCTCTCCGAGATAATGTCCCCGTTCTCCCCAGAATGCCCTTCTTCGACTACTCCCCGCCTCCTTACGCCGGCCCCTCCGCCGCCGAGATCCTCCAGAAGCGCCGGCGTTATCTCAACCCCGCGATATCCCACTTCTTCAAGAACCCGGTGAGTTACACCTATAAAGTTCTCATCTTTACGGGTGAAAAGTAAAAAAGATTCAGAATCTCTGATTTGGTTTTATTTTTCTCCTTTTCTTTGCATTGGGCAGTTGAATTTGGTTGATGGAAAGATGCAGTACCTGTTTGACGAGGACGGGCGGCGGTATCTGGACGCATTCGGAGGGATCGCCACCGTGTGTTGCGGCCACTGCCACCCTGAGGTGGTGGAGGCGATTGTCACCCAAACAAAGCGGCTGCAGCATTCCACTGTGCTGTATCTGAATCACACTATCGCCGACTTTGCCGAGGCACTTGCTTCCAAGATGCCCGGAGATCTCAAGGTTCAATCTTTATTCTCACTTCTTTATAACATTCTGATACCCAATTAAGCCAATTTCATACCAGTCCAATTTTTTTAAAGTGGGATTTCATATCTCAACATTGATCTTCATTTGTTTATTTCCATCTTTTTTAACATTTTGTTGTTTTAAAGGTTGTTTTCTTTACCAATTCTGGGACAGAGGCCAATGAGCTGGCCTTGCTAATGGCGAGGCTGTATACCCAAACTCATGACATTGTCTCGATAAGGAATGGTTACCACGGCAATGCGTCTGCTACGATGAGTTCTACTGCACAGTCTAGCTACAAATTCAATATCGTGCAGGTGCATATGAATGTTACTAATATTTTCATATAGTGGCAGAAAAGAACAAATCATTTACAAGTTAGTTTCTTTGCAATCTGAACTTCTTTCACTTGACTGGTGATTGTGTGTTCTCTTAACTGAAATGGACAGACAGGAGTGCACCATACATTGAATCCTGATCAGTATAGGGGCGTGTTTGGCTCGGATGGGAAAAAGTATGCTAGGGATGTTGATGATGTTATCACCTATGGGACAACCGGCTGTGTTGCTGGTTTTATTGCTGAAGCCATACAGGTATCAAGCTTTAAAACATACCCGTACACGAAGGCGTATTGCTTAGCTGAATGATGTGCCGTTTGCCCTAACTTTGCATTAGTATGATATTATACACTTTAGGTCAAACCCTCACGGATTTGATTTTAGCCACCTTCCTGAACACTAATACTATTGGTTTTGAAATCTTTGTCTCCATCCGGTATGGGAGTTGGTTTATATCCCAACATATCATATGACCTTGGAGCTCTACTAATGGTTAAAGCATGTTCTTGACAGGGTGTTGGGGGAATCATGGAACTGGCTCCGGGTTACTTGCCAGCTGTGTATAGTAGTATTCGAAGTGCTGGAGGTCTATGTATAGCCGATGAGGTCCAGTCAGGCTTTGGTAGGACAGGGAGCCATTTTTGGGGGTTTGAGGCCCATGGAGTTGTGCCCGATATCGTCACCATGGCAAAGGTAAGTTTCTGCTTCGCATCCCAAAAACCCACAACACCTAGATGGCAAAAATCATGAACGGAGTTTTGTTTTTTGGGGTTTCTCATTAGGGAATTGGGAATGGCATTCCACTTGGAGCTGTTGTCACCACACCAGACATTGCAAATGCCTTGACGAACCGGTGTTATTTCAATACCTTTGGAGGGAATCCCGTGTGCACAGCTGGCGGTCTAGCTGTCCTTAAAGTGCTAGAGAAAGAGAAGCTCCAACAGAATGCGCTAACCGTGGGGTCATATCTCAAAGATCGTCTTGTTTCTCTTACAGAGAAGCACGAAAGTACGTTCCCTTCGTTTATGTTCAGAACAAGAAAATAAAGAACGTTGTGTTTGGAAAAGATCCCATCTTTATCACCGATTTATGTACACAATGTCACGAACACTTTAAAAAAAAGGGTTGAGATATTTGTTCTATAAAGGATAATGTTGAAACCAAGTTTTGATGGATAGTATGTGAATTTTTGCAGTAATTGGTGATGTAAGGGGACGCGGTCTGATGCTAGGAGTTGAACTTGTGACTGATAGGAAGTTGAAGACTCCTGCAAAGGTTGAAACACTGCATCTAATGGAAGAAATGAAAGGTGAATTTCTATTCTTCACTCATCTTCTAACTAAAACAAAATCTCTAGCATTCTATCTGATACACATTTGCTTACTATTTTCAGATATGGGAGTACTTATAGGGAAAGGCGGGTTTTTCGGGAACGTATTCCGAATCACTCCTCCGCTTTGCTTCACCAAAGAAGATGCTGGTTTGCCCTTCATCTCCCTATGACAATTTTTTTAATATAAAAAACTTTCTTGATTTTGAATGCTAGTTTGGTCCTAATCCTATGCCTTATTATGTTTTTGTTTCTATGAAGATTTTCTTGTGGATGTGATGGATTACTCTATGTCAAGAATGTGAAGCGTGAAGTCGACCGAGCCATTGCTGCCTCTTCCTCCCGTGGAGCCAATTATTCTTTTGTCACACATACTCCGTCTATTCACATTTAACAGACCATTATGTCTTCAGTTGCATACAAAATTGAATGAACATGGACACACATCATGTCTACATTCATTCAACTTTTGATGTAGAAGTCATAATGGCCATTTAAATGTGAATGGAGGGAGTATCGCTATTGTTGTTTGAATAGCCATCATCAAAGCAAAGATATATAAAAATAATAGCCATGTATGGGCAGGGTGATTATGGGACATCACCTCGTTGTCTCCATCTCTCACTCCATTATTCTTTGAATGATTTATTGGCATGTTTATATATATGGTAGGGCTACAAAACATGCAGTTTCTTTTGAAGTCTATGTTTTCTTCTTTTTTGTGGACTCAAATCTGAAGTTTGTTGTATGAAATTTCAATTGTTAAGGTTGTTGTCTTTATGAACTACGGAGTAAATATATACATAGTATATATATGAGAGATTTTTGCTTTGTGCCTTTTTATGTGGGTGTTGGATAGAAAGAAATGACGAAAGAACATTTATCGAATGACCGTAAGTGATTTTTGTGTTGGCCATGCGCATCAATTGCTCTATAGCAGAAGGCATGTGGGCCAAGTCATAATCGAGCATCGTGAGTGTATGCCGATTGTAATATAAGGTTAGTGTATGCGTCTCTTGTAACACCAATTGGTTTTAGAAGAGCTGGTAGCACCCGAGGTCTTATATTCTCTACTATTCATGTTGTCGTCTCAAAGTTACTTATGGGATACTTTGTTTTATGAAACACTCTCAAGCTATGAATTATTTAATTTTACTTGGATTTAGGCTTTAAATCAAGATTTGTTTAGGTTTTAAAAGTTAAAAAGTTCATATATTGATTTAAGAGTGTTTTTGTACATTTATCTCCGATCTTTTTATAAAGTATATATTTTCAGAAGTGCACTGTTAATCCATATGCTTTTTATTCTCAAACTTTTAATAAGTGCATATGTTTTCTACACAAACATGCAAAAATGTATCATTAATGGCTATACTATTACTAAAGTGTATGTTTTGTTTCCAAGCTTTTCAAAAGTGCATCGGAAGAATGTTTTTAATTAAACTTGAGTAAAAAAATTCAAAAAATAAATTGGAAGATTTAGATGCTAGTTTTCTATTTGGCAAAATTTTATATTTTCTTTTCAAATCTAAGTTCACACGACTATTTGATAAGAGAGAACAAAACTACATATTTTATTCACTAGAGAATCTGGAATCAAAAATCATTCAATCTAAATAAGTCAACTTAAAAATTTCATGATCAAATTTAAAAAAGGTAGATGCGAATTGAAGATGAGCCGAATAAAAAAATCTAATCTTTATTATTACGGAGTATTTGAAAATTATTCGTCTATAAAAAGAACATTGCTTCAATAAATTATTTGTCTATAAAATAAAGATTACTACAACAAAATCAAACAATGCAAAATCCCCCAACACAAAAACCCTTCAACCCAAACTAGAATCCGAATAGAACCAGTTGTTGAACCGAAGCCTAAACAAACCCACCCCCAATCGGGTCGCCAATTGCCAGTCTAATCAACTCATCAACCGCCCTCTTCCCCCGTCGGGCAAAGCTCTTCTCCGCTTCTTCCGCTGTCGAGTTTCCCGGCGCAGCTCGCCAGCTCCCTGACAGTCGCGATCGACCTTCGAATATTCCGGGGCCATCAAAGGATTGAAGGCGAAACTTACAGAACCACCCGAGAGGAACAATGGGGAGATCGAAGGGAGACGGAGCCAGAAGCAAGTCTCGTCCCTCTAGCAGCAGGTTTTCATTCTTCATCGCATGACTTCGTGTTTCCTTTTTGTTAATATTTGTTGTATCAATCACAAGTTAAGACGAATCTATGCTGATACCTTTGCAGTTTGGCTGCGTCTCTATTGCCACAAGGTGCACCTGCAGTAGGATTCGGCGGCTTTGTTGGTAGCTCCCGTGTCGAGCCTTCGTTGCCAACAGAAGAAGCTCCTTTCACGGTACTCCCGGAATTCCGTCTCTCTTTCTTTCCCCTAAATATGCACATATATTCGCTATAAAAGTTGAATGTTTATATACTCGCAGCGCTGTAATTGGGAATCACACCCGACCAGAATTTACTGCCAAAGCTTTCTTCTTTGGTTTATTTTGTGATTAATTTTTGTCCTTTTGCAAATTTTAGCCAGTGGAAAATTGATAGCATCAAATTCGCGCATGCCGTGCTATTGTTAAAGCTGTTTTTATGAGTATGTATTTGAAAAAATGCTATTTGGAATGCAGGAGATTGATAGTGAATTGGCACAACACCTGAAAAGGCTTGCAAGAAAGGATCCTACCACCAAAGTAAAGTGTCACTGCAAAACTTATTTACTTTTTAAATTTGGATTTACTTTTTGTGAAGATTGAGCTACCAATTAGACAATAAGATGTTAAACTTACTAGTCTTTAGGATGATTTGAAGCAACATTTGTTCCTTCAGCTAAATCTTTGAAATCATGCACATGCATTTATTTTTATGTCATTGACAAAGGTATTTGATCTTGTATTATTCCCAGATTAAAGCCTTGGCATCACTGTCTCAGTTATTCAAACAGAAAAATTTAAAGGAGATAGTACCTATCATTCCACAATGGGTATGCTTACTATCTCGGAAAACAAATTCTGCTTATATATTCTCTTACAACATTTTTTATGTGGCATGCCAATGCCAACATTTCATTCATATTCACTACCCCCCACCTCCCACATGCACACCCATACACTACACATATACACTTGTGGCTTAATGGAGCGATCAATTTTATAATTAGGCATTTGAATTCAAGAAGTTGCTGCGGGATTACAATCGAGAGGTTCGGCGGGCAACTCATGCAACCATGACTAATCTTTTCAACGTTGTTGGGTTAACATCTTATCTTTGCCTATAACAAACATTTGTAGCTTGACTGCTCTTTAAAATTTAGATCTATGATAAAAGAAAACAGCGCTGTTCAAATGACACCAATGTTAGGGTTTTGACGGCCCTACGGTGCTCCATTGGTCCCGGGACCGGGTCCTATGCCGAAGCCCCCCCCCCCCCCCCCCCCCCC